ATTTTCTAGGCAGACTCTTGGCAGCTCGTACCTTACCACCAGTAACGATTCGGGAGCTTCGATTGGCGCTGCAAGACGAATGGGCAGCAATGCCTCAACAGCTCATTGACACCCTCATTCTCAGCATGGACAGACGCTGTGAAACCTGTCTAGCAGTCAGGGGAGATCATATCCCCTACTAAAGACCGGATGTTTCTTGCTGGACACCCATCACAGGCATGTTTCGGCCTTCAGTCGCATTGCGCTCCATGCTACTTTTTCAATCAAGCTTCTTTTTATCCCTCTGATTTCTCTTTTAGTAAGTGTTGCTTACATTACACATGTCCTTACGTATTGGGGATCTTACGGTATTAAATGTGTTGATTTGGAAAGCTTTTGTACAAAGTTATATTGAAAAAACCGTCTCGTCCTTAATTTTTGCACACCAGTGTATATTAATATATTTTTACCACAAGAATTGTGACTAGTATTTTTTTATAAAAACTGATTAGAAATTATTTATATTCATGTAAAAATAATTAAAAATAATAATAACAAAAACGAAAAGACCATAGAAATATCGGTATGATAGACGGTGATAGATAAAAAAAATCGCACATATCGTGAGTTGAAAAAAATCGCCAAGTACCACAACGTGTCTCTCTCACTGGGTAGAGTCCATCTGAAGATGTCAAGGCAGCCCACCCCAAAAATTTATACCACAGCGGTATTAACAGGCATCAAAGCAAATCATCCCCGCCTGAGAGACGGATGTTCTCGTCAGAAGGTACATCAGGAATTGCTCCTAAATTTTGAGCTGCAAATTTGCAGAACACACAACAATTTCTCACACTGTTATAACAATTTTAATGCCACCCTGAACAATGTATTTAAGTTAAAAAATATTACTTAACGTATGCGGCAACAAAAACAAAATATAGAAATAAATTAGCGCAGAATATGAGTCAAAGAGAGTGAGAGTTATATCAAAATATCGCACTATAAGGCTACAAAAGGGCTATTGGCGAAGGACGTCATAATTTTGAGCCTTGATTAAGTGACGAGGACAACACATCTGCTGGCACCCTCTCTCCAAACTTCCACACCACATCAAGGGAGGGCGTTTGAGCCTCGACAGATTTAACGTGCATCGGACCCTTCTGCTCATTGGGTCTTCAGCTCAATATATATATATATATTCTAAGAAAAATTCATTGCTATAAAATCATCAGCACTAACCAATTTGCTGTATTTGAAGGAAATGATTTTTTTATCATACTTTTACCGAAATAAATCAATTGTCTGTTTGAGTATATATATATGAAGTAAAGCTTTTTATCATTTTGAATTACATCAAAATCTTTTGTTTTTCACCTGGCTCAACTTCTGTTATAGGTATCCTTGATCTTTTTTAATAAACTTCTAAGTTTTTGCACATATTTATAATTCTGGGTAGTTTTTTTTTATCCCTGTCATGTCATAGTGTAACTGAGTATATTATCGACCAGGGGCGTAGCTACCGCGTATCAGCCGTTTTAATGATACCGGGCCCCCAAGCTGCAGGGGCCACGACATGTGTAACTACATTCTCCATAACAGGGCTCCCATATCTAAAAAAGGGCCCTGAAAGAATTTTGATACAGGGCCCCCCTGAGAGCTAGCTACGCCAGTGATAGTGACACAAAAATGACAATAAAATTAACACTATTAAGGTATCCGAACACGTTCAGAGTACTTTTTGACAAAATAACATATTTAAACATATAAAGTTTTTTTTAGGATTCAATACCAATAAATACTAATATTTAATCAACAATATTTAAAATAAATTGCCGGAATTTCATAAAAATCACAATTATATGTGAAATTTTAGCAATATTTTTGTAAACTTCAAAGCAATTAGAGAAAAAAGTTATAAACTTATATTAGTAAAAGAATTACCAAAACAATCTAGAGGCATTTATCTAGAGAATGTACTAAAACGTTATAAGAAAAATAACGCTTTTATAAGACCATTATTTAAATAACATGCTCTAACTCAAATAATATATTCATACTATAAGAAATATTTTAGTACATTCTCTAGAAAATAGCATAAATATCAGGTGCAAAAAGTTTTATTGATATACATTTGTAATATTTTGTGTAATCAGACTCGCCATTATAGATTTCGAACAATTTAAATGCCCACTTCTGGTAGATCAAAGACCCACTTCCGGTTTTTCTAACTTAATAAAATTGATTGTAACTTGGCCTCTAAGAAGCATAGAATCAAAACAAAGTACGTTTTGTAAAACCAAAATATAGATGTATTAAATATAATAGAAAACCAAAATATCGGTCTTGTCCGAATTTGGTCATTTTCAACGCGTGTTCGGATACCTTAAGGCTGTTCTGCATATTATGTATGTGATTTATAAAAGAGGTTATTGATTAGTTCTTGAGGTAAAGTTTTATTAATACTTTTCAGATAAAAATACAGTCCAACCTTTTTTTATGCGATTTCCTTTTTGTGCGGTTTTTTATGTGCGATATTTTTTTTTTTATGCAGTGTATGAATTTCAGTGGCTTTGGCGCCATTGTAATGTTTTCTATCTATTTACTACTGGCGTAATGGAGAAGGTTAGGACCCCCGTCCCGCCTGAAAGTCAGGTTTCGCCTTTAATATTTTATAAATTGGGTAAATACGTATTTAGCGTTAGTCTAGCCTTGGGCTCCTAGAGTCCTGCCCCCCCTCGTGACAGGACTCAATGGCTTTGGCTCCACAAGTAAGGTTTTCTATCTATTTACCAGTGGTGTAACGGAAAATGTTAGGACCCACCCTGAAAGTCAGGTTTTGCCTTTAATATTTTATAAATTGGGTAAATGCGTATTTAGCTTAAGTCAGGCCTTGGGCCCCTAGAGTCCTGCCCCCTCTCCCGTTACGCGGGGGTGTACGTTACGCCACTGAAATGTAGACATTTCAAGGTGCTCTGTTCATTTGTTATAAACAATCTCCCGACAATGCGCATTCAGTTGCTTTCTTTCAACGCTCCAGCAGCCCACCCTTGATTGAAGACGAAGCTTTCAATGACAGTGACATTATCAATAATTTGATAAATTATGAAGACGGACAAGAAGCCAGATTCTTTGAGAGCGGATAAAAATATGCAGGGATACAGCTTTCCAACAAATTTTGAAAAGGATTTTCTTAAATCAGATACCAGTTATGAAGGAGTATAAATTTCGAAAAAGGGCTTCAATCATGTATAGCTGGTTATCGTGACATTTACAAGCAACTGACCACCCGTCCTTCGTCACAAAAACTTATCTCTTACTTTATGTTGTCAAAAAATAAATCAATTGAAATTGCACCTTCAAGTGACGAAAGCGATTTTGAACTTATTCTGTACAGGGCTTTCGATTACGACGAATAGCAATGAATTATGTATGTGCATTTTGTGAAAACTTATCCGAGTATACAATGAGAAACTATATGTTTTAAAAATGTTTCCATGTGTAATATTTAATTATTTATTTTATTATGGAAGTATTCTTACATAAATTTCGTAAATAATTGGCATATTTTATAAATGCGACTTTTTTTATGCGGTCCCTATCCACCGCATAAAAAAGTTTTTTGTAGTATTTCCACGAATTAGTTTATTTTATGTAAGAATTTATGAAATTTTTGAATATTTTTTTGTTCGACTTTTTATGCGGTCCCTATCTACCGCACGAAAACAGGTTCAACTGTAAATTCAAATCTTATTTCTCTGACACAGATTATAAAATTAATTTCTCTAAAGGATTTATTGAATTTGGCACCTTTGCTGTTTTTTAGCGACATAAAGATCTAGATCAAAGGATATTTCAAACAAAGCAATGAAGAGTATTATATAAATTGTATCGACTGCAGTGATGTGGATTTAGTTTTTTTGGAACAAGGTGAAGTTTACTTATTATTTTCTTCATTTAAAAACTTTAATTCGCCACTTCATTCCTTTCCTCCCCTAGCTTTTACTTTTTAATTTAAATCCAAAATCAAAATTATATAACCACGGTATCTTAGTGGTCATGGTCAGAAACTCGTGGCCAGCGTTGTCGAGTCACAGGTTGCAGTCCTGATGCCACTGAAGATCCGTCGTGCAGAGCAGCTGATGCACGTTGAATCTGTTGTAGCTCAAATTCCTCACATTGGTGTGATGTGGAAACTTAGAAAGTGGGGTGCCTAAGGTCAGATGTTGTTCTCATAACTGAACAACGGTTTAAAATTACAAGCTGCATCACTAATAGACCTCGTGTTGCTTTACATTGCGACGTTAATAAAAAAAACTCACTCACTCACCCAAAACCAAAATTATTCTCGGAACAATTAACAAAGAATTAATCTCTCTATGCAACGTAAAATAAATCATTAAGCAACTCAAATTTGAATTTTAAAATCACGGAAGTAATTAAATGGAAGTGTTTCGTTTGTTGTTAATGACAAAAATGTTGCTTAAGTTTTAGGAAATAAATATTGCACAGACATGGGATATTTTTTAACTAAAAATTTAATTCTTCCTTTTTGTATTGAATTCTACGTCGCGACGTACACATTTTGAAATGCTTTTCGTTTTAATTAAATCAAAGTTCGAAAAGTAAAATTCAGTAGGAAATTATACTGAGCTTATAATCATATGTGGCAAAACTACAAGTGTCGGAGAAAAACTTTCATGAGTTAACCTAAAACAAGTAATATAAAAAAAAAAAAATATTTTTTTTAAGTCTATTCCTACTTAGTTCAACGAAGAAAAATTTTACTTTAGTTACTTTATATTAAATGAATATAATTAATATAAATATTTATATACATATGACAGAATCACACACAATATTAAGTGCAAAATAGAAAGCTATTTTCCTTACAATTTTCCATTTTCTTTTCTATATATGGTGTTGGGCTATTTTTTGTTTATTTGTTGCTGTTTATTCATTAATTAAACTTAATTATTCTAATAAAATAGTATAGTAAAAAAGAAATCACATTCTTAGAAATTAGGCCATCTCAGGTGGGATTCGAGCCCACGACTTTTGGACTAGAAATCCAACGCGCTTTCCATTGCGCTACAGGGTCACAACGAACGATTTTTCTTTCTATATATGCTGTTGGACTATTATTTTTGTTTGCTACTGTTTATTCATTTTTTTTAAAATTTAATTAATGAATTAGTATTTGAAAAAACTGAATTAACAACAAATGTCATCCACTAGAAGTTTTAAAAAATATATTCGAACTTAAATGGATGAATAGAAAGTATTTTATTAACGAGTGAAAATTTGAACAAGATATATATATATATATACAAGGAGAGAGTGAACTATTATAATAGGAATTGAAAAAAAAAGAGAAATAAAACATAACATATATTGAAAAAAAAAAGAAGCTAATCTTGACCTACATATATCTCCCCACTTACATGTATACTCCTCCTAGTTGGAGAGTAATTGCATGTGATCTAATCCACCTAGCCCTTTACCGTGTTTACGATTCTCTATGTTAGCAGCAGGGGTGGCTTTAGGGCCGGAAAAACTGGACCCATGCCCGAGGCGGCATTTGGACTGAATTTGAAAAAGACTTTTTTTTTTTTGTTACGAAAAAATTTCTATGTGTGAAAATATTTTCTGAATCATTATTATATATTTATATTTTATAAACCTGATACCTGATATAAATACCTAGAACTCTTTATTTTAGACTGAATTGAAATGTCGACTACTGCTAGTAAAATTTGTAACTATACCTTTTTTTACAGAAAATAAAACTTACACTTCTTGGTGATTTGTTGTAACAAGTATATGAGCCCCGACTTCGGGATTCAGGTACATATGCTTATCTTGGTAAGATTTTCACTGACCTGATATAAAGGGGAAATGATTATATCTTTTGTTTATGGTATTACTACGTCAAGGGTCACAAATGTACACAAAACAGAATATTTTGTTTAGGGCAGCGTTCGGCAAATTGCAATTCTTCAAAATTGTACCTTTATGTAGAATTAAAAGTTATGTTTGTTAAAAAGCTATTCCTCACTTTTCTAATTTATAAATATACTAGTTGGTATACACGTTCTTCGCACGGGTGAACTGAAAAATTAAACAACACAGATTGAAGGATAAAGAAGTTTTTAATGAGTTATTTTCACGTGAATTGCAAATTAAACAAAAAAAGCTTTTGGCGTAACTCAGGTAACAAAAAAAAAAGAGAGAAATAAAACACCTTTGTTAAATTTTAAGTATGTAGGTCTAATAGCTGATAAAAAGAATTTTTTTTTATTTATAACTCCACGTAACACTCTTGAGGGTTGATTTTTGAAAATACCTTCCTAAGCTGATCTCTGCTTAAAAGTAACACATTGTTAAAAGTTTTGTGTAATGAACGCTTAAAATAGTGTAAATAATTTTTATCTGAAAGTATAATACATTAATATTACTTTCTGTAGTATTTATTTTATGTTAAAATTGTAATATTCGCAAGCAACGCCGTTTCTTAAATTATAATGACGATCCAATGAAACACATAGCGAAATTTTAACGATAGAGTCAAGTTGGCAAATGCCTAGCTACTTTCATAACTCGAGCTTTATTAGAGCTTTGTAAGACCCACCCTGTACGGGAGTGATGCACGTTAATACTTTATCCACCGCATAATGATTTACTGCAGTTTTTTTCATACAATATTTTTTTGGATCACTACATCGAAAATTAAGGGATATACATAAACAAAATACTCCACTTTGGGAAATTTAATCCGTTAGAGCTAATAAATTAAATAAAGACTGTAAAATTAATTATATATACCGTTCACTTAAAATAAGTAGTCAAATCATTTTCTAAGGTCTTCATTAACATACAAAAACATAAGATACTTAAATTTTGACAAACTATTTTTTCCGCTAAAATACTCATCATGGAACCCGTGCTGCCATAAATCTTGGAAGAGTGGATTTCAAAGAATATTCCTGCTAATTATTGGTAGAATATTCCTTCTAAGTTGGTGTGGTGTGGTAGTTAGGAGAAAGGGGTGCCAGCTCAGATGTCGTCCACGTTACTTGACTATGGTTCAAAATTACGTGATCTGTTGCCAAAAGCCCTCGTGTAGCTGAACAGTGCAACATTAATATTCACTCACTCTCACACTCCAAGAAATACAGAACAATAGTTATTGCGTTTTTAAGTGTAAAAATAATTATATCTGCCTATTCAATTAAAATTATAGCGTTATAATTAACTACTAACCACAAATAAATTTTGAAAATTTGTCCAAATGATGCAGTGTGAAAGAGAAAGCTTATATACTTTAAGTATCAGAACTGATAAAAGCATTTATTTGGAAAAAAGATCAATTTCTTACTACCAAATACGCATAAGATGTTAAAAAAACATTAAAATAAAGAGAGATTTATAACAACCTCTCCCTTCAAAACTTAGTTTGATTCTGAAATAAAAAAAAATACGCATTATATCAGAGGAATTAACTAGAAGCGAGCACCTTGCGTAGCCAAAACAAAAAAAGGTTTTTCACAAACAAAAGATAGATATATGCAGACGTGTGGGGGTTTTTTTGCAGCGCATGCCAGAATTGCTAGCAGAAGACAGAATTTTTTCCTACTTACTTGACAAATATCGTTATATTTTTGACACTTTTCTCAAATCTTTATAAATTATAGCCTATGTGCTATTCTGGTGTATAAGCTATATTACTGTAAAGTTTCATTAAAATCCATTCAGTAGTTTTTTTTTTTTTTTTTTTTGCGTGAAAGACTAACGAATATTTTCACAAACTTTCGCATTTATAATATACATTAGATCTATAAAAAATAACTTGCATTTAAATGGCCATTTAAATATTTGACTAGCTTTCTGACAGAATTTATTTTTTAATATGTATTTGATTTATCTTTACAATTTCCAGTTATATATTTGTATCTAGCATTGCGAATCTGGTATATTTAATTTTCCCTTATGATTAGAGGTCATTCTTATGAATTCCAAGATAACCTTTAAAGGTTTAGACATATACTGCAACAAAATAAATAAATGATAAGATAAATAAATAAAAATTATAAAAATAAGGCATCAGACAATGAAATGGGCTTTTAAAGTTTTCAAACTTGCAGTAAAAGTCAAATAATCAGAGTGGCTTTGATTGATTGATTGAATATTAACGTCGCACTGTTCAGCTACACGAGGGCTTTTGGCGACGGACCACGTAATTTTGAACCATGGCTGACGTACCTGAGCCCCCTCTCCTAACTACCACACCACACCAACGGGAGGACATTTCAGCTCTCAAAAGATTTAACGTGCATCGCTGCCTACACGGCGGGTCTTTAGTGGTACTGGGCTCGAACTCGTGACAAGGCAAGCCACGGTCCGATACCTATACCACTCGGCTACCGCGGCCACATCAGAGTGGCAAGCTCATGACTGGTTCCATTTCAGTTGAAAAGCTTGTCTGAGTCATAATCTAACTCAGTGTTTCCCAAAGTGGTCTATATAGACCCCCAGGGGTCTATGACGACCTGCAAGGGGTCCACGTTAGCAAAAAAATAATATGGGGGTCAATGAGGTGCAAGTGGGGGTCTATGTGATATTAGCTCTCGTTATAATTTTTATTTATATTTTCATCCCTTCATTCCTATATACCTTTTTAGCAAGTTAATTTTCTCTCTTATATTCAAATATACATTTTTATGAAGTTATTCTTTTATGTGAAGCGAAATTGCAATGAGAACACTCATTAAAAAATTCTTTTTTACTTTTGGATACACTGCTCTGCAATGGCTCTACCCTCTTTAAAATATATTATGTTTGCAAAAAGAGCTCAATTTTATTCATTGCGCTACAAGGGCACAACGAACGATTTTCCTTTCTGTATATGCTGCTGGACTATTAGTTTTTTTTTTTTTTTTTTGTTGACAATTTTTAAATTAATAAATGAATTTATACTTGAAAAAACTGTTTATTACCCACTGTCATCCATTACAAGTTAAAAAATAAATAAAAGCAATGTCCACATATATTATGATTCATTATTAATTGCCATCCTTATTTTCTATGCCTTTTATGATACTTCAAGAATTCTCTAAAGTTGCAAAAGTAATTTTGATTTCAAATTTTTTTTTTTCATTTACATACCACTTATAAAAATATTTCTTGAATATGAAATTCGTTTTACACACATGAAAATAATAAACAAAACTTAATTAGCCATATATTACTTTTGAAAAATAAAATAAAACTGATAATTTTTAATTTTTTTTAAAAAAAATGAGAGTTTAAAGTGTTAAACAAAAATAAAATACACACTTTTATTAATTTTATTTGTCATGTTTTGCGTTAATTTTATCAATGCACATATGAGTGTTAGCATATTTTAATTCTGAAAAATATATATTTTATTTCTTAAAACTGCAACACAAAGAAATTTCGAAAAAGTATACTTTACTGAAGTTTTTGCTTATATAAGTACAGAAAGCTCTCGAACAACGCCGAGCCATACAGCTAGTTAAACATATAAAATATAAATTTATTGTGGTGTCAAAGTTAGGAGAGGGGATCAGCTCATCCACGCGACGCTTGACCATCATTCAAAGTTAATAGTTCTGCCTCCAATAGACCGCGTGCAGTTTTTAAGCATAACGTAAATAGAATTTCCCTTCAATCACTAGATGATGTGTCGAAAAATGCAGAAGAGCGTGCTCCTTTGATTACGTGACGAAAAACTTATTAAAACCATTAAATTATTAAAAAAATTATTAAATTATTAAAATTATAAAAAAATAAATTTATTGTGGTGTAGAAGTTAGAAGAAGGGGGGAGGTGCCCTCTCAAGTGTCATTCTCCACACTTAAACATTGTTCAAAAATACTAGTTCTGCCATCAATAACCCTCGTGTAGTTTTATAGCGCAACGTAAATATGATTCTCAATCACTCACTAGATTATGTGTCAGAAATATCCGAGTAGCGTGCTCCTTTGATAACGTGACGAAAAAATTATTAAAATCATTAAATTATAAAAAACAACTTATTAAATTATAAATAATATGAAAAATAAATTTATTAAATTATTA